AATCAGATATATTTGGCATCTATTAACACAAAAAGATCAGAAGGCTTGGAATCTTGATCTATTTGTTCAGCAAGGTTCAATCAGAAATTCAAGAGAATATTAGGCCCCCTCCATGTGGGGATGTGCAACTGTGTGTGTGTCTCATGACTGTCTGTTTGTTATCCCGACTTGTCTCACGTGTATCCTCAAAATCAAGCTGAATTTATACATAATTCTCCTACTAGGAATAGACTAGATTACAAATTGGAAAAGTCAATTGACGGTGAGGAGAGACTACAAATTAAGGCATTCCTGGGATAGCTACCCAGTATGCAGATCAAACTATTGCTACAGACACACAAAATAATAAACACCCCCAAGGGATCTTGAGAGAATGAGATACCTATTAGGATGGACCAACCAGAGATGAACCAAGCCTTACACCCATGGACAATGATTATGACATTCCGATGCAGGAAAAAAATGCAAGAATACATGTGACCTAAAAGTCCATCAAGCCAAAATGAAATGTCAAATGGAAACTAGCCAGATGCAGTGCACAGGAAATCTACCTGGTGAGACACAGAAAATACAGGGCTAGGAAGCTCACTACAGAGCCCACTTCTTCCAAGCAGAAGCACAAGTGTTCCTCGAATTACCATCTGAGACATTTTGGGAAAAGATCAAATGGTCTGCAGTCGTCAACAAAAAAGCTTGGCACCACCTCGACTTAGACATCAGTGAGATACTGGATTGGCTGTTGGTCAACTTCCAATCAAATGTGTGATAGCGGGTTATGGTTTGCCTAATATAAGTCAGTGTCTGCAGGCTGTTAATTTAGAGGGCGGATCAGAGACTGATCAGCTCTGATGGGGTTGACTTAGTGAGGGCAGTATGATGTTTGAAAGACCTAAAATTGTCCAATGATCCAAATCAGAAAATCACTGATGACACTCTCTAGCGCTAAAGATTGTATATTCAAAGCCACCCACATATCAAGCTGTTCACATGCCAGAATAACTCAATTTTCCAATGTTTAAAGTCAAGGTTAAAAGACCAAATCCTATGTTTTGATTTTACCCCATTTTCTTCAGAGCCATTGCTCCCAAACCAAAACATATTTGACTGAGATCAGAAATGAAATCAAAAACACATACTCTGACCTGTCCAATTTGAGCTCACACCTTGCTTCTCAACAAATACTTCTGCCTGGGAAAATTAATAAGGATTAGAATAATCCATTCCAAATAGTTGTCTTGAAATTTAAAAATTATGACATCTGCCAATAAGTACCTTGTTATAAATGGAAAACCATAACCAAACAAACATCTCTGAGAAACAAAAACTATGACAAGTTACATTAGAGTTGAAAGAGAAGTTAATAAAATCAATGTTACATATATATATATATATATATATATATATGATAAAATATAGTTTTAAGGTATTCTATATTTATGGGCTAAAGTGCTCAATATTAGGGATAGAACATATGTAAATATAAAAGTGGGTATTGAAACCAACACCCAGTGATGACAGTCTGTTTCATGCTAAACACATGGCTTGGTGATTGTGTTTAGCATGAAACAGATTTGTATGGATAATTCCAAAGAGGATGTAGATCCAGAGAGAGCTCAATGTAAAAAGAGAGCAAATAATAATTATTATTATGAAAATGAAGACTTTAATAGGTCATGATAATATTTTATTTCATTAGAACTGATATTTCTGTTCTAACTCATCTGATTGAACATCATCACACAAATAAATGGGTAAAATTGTCAATATTTCCAAATATGGTCAATGCCAATTTTAGCAATATTAGATGGACAATGCCAATTTTAGTAATATTAGATGATCAATACCAATTTTAGCAATATTAGATGGCCAATGCTAATTTTAGCAATATTAGATGGTCAATGTCAATTTTTTTTGTGAAAACATTGATTTGCATTATAAAATCTGATATAGCACGACGAGAAAAAACAACTTTACTCTTTTCAGATGATTTTTTATTTTTCCTTCATCTCTTTGCATGTGCATGTGTGTATATGTGTTCATATATAGTCATATGAAACCCATATCTTATATATACAAGATGAAGATAGAGCACGTATGGCTGAGAGAATGATATATTTCTCACTGGTGCCAGCAATCATAGTTCAAGTGTAATCCAGTACTATGAATGCACCTTATCAAAGCAGGAAAGCTTTCACTCGTTCTAAGATCAGTCTAGCTTAGTTATCTAGTTATCATTAACTTTTTGTGTCCTTGTACTAGAATAGGCTAAGCTTAGAAAATTTCGATCATTATAGAGACGGTTACAGGGTAAAAGGGAAATAACTCCAGATATTTCAAAAAAATTTTTTTAATGAATTTTCACACCAATAGGATTATTATTATTATTTGTCTTTGTCTTTTTCTTCACCTTATTAGATGTTATGAGGTTACTGGATATTAGGAGACATGTAGGAGTAATGGATAGTGGTTTGGATTGAGGAAGCAGAGAGCTGAGTTTGAATTCCAGTTGAATTGATTACATTTACTTACATGCTAATACCCTTGGGAAAGGTATGAATCCATCTCTTCCCCCAGCTATGCATAAATTGCAGAACAGTTTGGGCCCTATAACCTTGGTTGACGACCAATTTAGGAAAAGGTAAACTCTGAATTCAAACCAGCCTGTAGGAGGTTGGTCTTGCCCATGATACACCACTGCTGCTGTGACTGCAGTAGATGTGGTGTTCCTAAGACCCTAAGGGGTTACGGGATCTGTGACCATGAGTGGATGTTATTAGCTAGTTTTGCTCTTACTGGATATTAAGCTACATCCTACAACCGTAGGTATTTAGTACTTGTCAGATTGTTTCCTGCTATGTCAGACAAAGAGTCTTTCTGCAACACATAAAAACTCATTGCTGAATCCATTGCATTCAACCAATAGGCAAAATTTTCTGACACAGTTCCTAAAGTTCTGATTACAATATGTACAATCGCTACTCTTTGGCAATTCTGTATTTTCTTGGTTTCAGTCTTTAAGTCTGTATTGTTCTCAATTTTCTGTATTTCTTTTCACTGTTATCAAATAAACAATGTCAATAATGTAACACTCTTCTTTGCTGAAAACAAGATAGTGGTGGTGGTCATCATCATCATCATCATCATCTTTTTGCCTGGTTTTCATTGCAACATTATGCAACATTGTAGAACCTCAGACAGGAAGCAACATTCACCAAATATTTGCAGACATCTAAAGCAATAAGATATTAGGCTAGTATATATTCCAATAATGCTGAAATACTGTATTTTAAAGAGTGATGAAAATAATACATACAATACAAGCAAATAATTAAAGATGCAATCAATATAATACAAATGATTTTGCATACAACAAGAGGTGGCTATGAGTGTGCTACCAAAGCTTTCTCCTGAAAACACCAATATACACAGCTTCTGGCTAGTATTAATGTTTGGTGGAGTAGTAATACCACCATGCAGTAGTCATATTTTACTTCAGTCACACAGTCATTTAGCCATATGTACATGTCATTACACAAAATACATATTTCAAAGATGAGAATTTACATTTAATATTGTGAAAGGCATACTAATCTGACATGTTATTAGGTTGCGTCATAAGTAATTTCTGTTTTGGGGAACTAAGTATTCAATGATGAATGTATGATTCTAATTACTAATCATACATGGCAGTTAAAAATAAATTTTCAGTCCACTAACATATCTTATTTTTTGTATAACAATGGCAGCATACACAGTGGATTAAAAGAAACATGTTATTCTCCTCCATGATAACACAAGACTGCATAGACTAGGAATAACACTGAAAAGAAATTTGGAACTCAGTTGGTTTATTTATTATGCCCTGCTCACCATATTCAATAGAATTTGACTATTACCTAGATTATTATCTTTTTCAGTTGCTGCAAAATGCTTTGATGGGGAAAAATTTCTTTACTAACAAACAGATTCAAGAATTCACCAAAACCTATTTCCAAAAGCTGCAGAATTTGTATTCAAAAAGTATCAAATAGCTGACTGATAATTTGCAATAAGTCATTACAAAGAATAGTAAATATACAATTGAACAAAATGTAATTGTACTTTTTTTTTAAGAATAAAGTTGATAAATTGTTATGAACTTAGTATTTTTATAATTTAGTTTTTTAATAAATATTTCAAATTTTTGCCATTATTTCAGAATTGGTTAAATTCTTTGTAAGGCTTCATATTATACCTGATTAACACTGTGAGTTTTCCCAATTCTAGCACTTGCATTTTGCGGGGATTTTTCATTCAATTTATAGTTTGTGGGTAAAAAGATAGACTGCTGAGTATTACTGAATAATTATCGTTTAACCTTACCTAATTATTGCATCAAATTTAAATGTTGCTATGATGATGCTTCCAGTTAAAATGAATTTAGTCTTAGTTCATTAACTGAAATAGTAAACATTTTTAAACAAAAAGTTAAGCTAAGCAACACAATGTATTTACAATGAAAACTAATGTTGACTGCTAAATTCAGTCCATAACTGTAAAATTTTGGTGAAGCGTTTTCTTTTAAATAAATAAGAAACCGTTTATTTAATTTATTTGATTTTATGCGTTATTTAAGCTTTATTTTATTGTATTGTAGAGCTTTTCAAATGCTTGTCCAACATTTATAAAAAACCGTCTGCTTTAAAACAAGAGGTGAAGGTCACATCATAAACCATAACATCTGACGTCATTTAATATGGTAGTAATATATATATTCTATAATATTTTTTAATAAAACTAACAGAACTCATTTTATACTTAAATAACATTTCAAGAATTGCTTTTATTTAAAAAAAGTATAGCAGCAAATTTTAACCTAAAACGTTCGAGTCTCATGTCATCTCGGCAGTTCGTGACTCACTGCAAGATGGTGGGCTCATAACCAGGTTGTTAAGGGATGGGTCGTTAAGCTGGTTTCCCACCATCTGCATGGCAACTTATTACTCGGATAATATACCGAAATGGGTTCTAGATTAAGGTAAGTTAAAAACAGAATTTGTGTACCTGTTAATTCACGTGTATGACTGCCTTTTATATGCTCAGGAGTAATGGGTCGGTTATCAAAAAAAAAAAAAAAAAAAAAATTCTATTGTAAACTACAAGTTGTCAATGTGTGTGTGCACTATAGTGACCACCCCCTTATTGTTAAAAGATTATATATATTATTTTTGTAATGTGTAATTATAATTTAATGAACTTTCTGTTTTCCTTTTATTTATAAATTTTTAAATACTGTTAAATCTGATAATTCTTTTAAGTGCAATAAAACAAGAAATAAGTTTTAAGTAGTTTTTATTTGTCGTCAATAGTGTTACCTTGTGAATGAGTTGTTTGTGGATTTAAACAGATTCACAGTTCAAATAAGAGTTTTGTTTGCTTGTCAATTCTTTAAAGGCCATTTAAATTTCCAATTACTGTACTTGACTTTATTCAAAACTTTTGAGTCAAAAGTGAATTCCAAATAAAATTATTTTCATTTTATTTGTTGCAGTATTAACTTCACTGTTCAAAAAAAATCAAACTTGTGTTTACGATTTTTTTTTCTTACACATGAAAGACACAACCCATTTCATTAAAACACCCTTTCTCTTAACGAGAAAGTAAAATACTAAAAAGTAAAAACGGAAAAAGCAAGCTTTGTTTTATTTACAATATTTTTCGGGGCCTTTAAAATTTAATTTCCTTGACTTCGTTAGTTTTTATTTGTTGCTAATAAAATGAATAAATAAAAATTAACGACATGCAATGTGTTTGAATTAAAAATTAACTAAAAAAAACGTAAACATATTAATTCTCGACTTAAATTAAAATAAGTTAAAAAAAAATTTCTAGGGTCCAGTTTCTTTTTCTTTTGGTTTTCACTTTTCAATCTTAGTAATTTTCTGGGTTTTTATTTTTGTTTTAGTTTTCTTATGACAAAGTTTCCTTCAGTAGTTAAAAATTGTCTTCTTTTAATGATTTTTTGATTTATTAAAAAATGCATGTAAAAGGAAATCACGCACACTTACACACATTTGTCTAAGTTTAAAATTTTTATTCCGTTTTTTTTTTTTTTTTTTTTTTTTTACGATTTCTGAAATTTTTATAAAACTCTCTCAATTTTATCAAGTAATTGATGGTTTATTCACTTTTCAATATTAGTGAAAATTTTAATTCATGATTTTCACTCTACAAAAAAAATAATCATATGTACAACTCGACTTTTTTTTTTTTTTTTTTACTCATCCCTCAATTAAAAACGTAATTTCGCATTCTTCTTTAATTTTCACTTTGATTTTTACCTGCAAATGCAAAGTTTGTTTTTATTCTGTTAAATTTTTTTTATAAAAACGCAGAACAAAAAAAAAAGGTAATTTGGGCTGAAATCTTAGTTAAAAAATAGTTTGATTTCTTCTTTCTATTCCCAATGTAAATAATTTTTTTTTTTTTTTTTTTTTTTAAATGGAAATGAAGTACTTTTTTTTACTGTTTTTAGATGGGACTGACAATGGGCTGCTTTTAAGTCCTCTTAGTCTTCTTATCCCACCCACAAAATCTATTCTAAAAATCTAAAGATTATCTACTCAAACGCAAATAAGGAAGTACCATTTTTAATCTTTCCTGTTGAAATTTAATACGAAATTTTTAAGTGCCATTGAAATAAAAGAAAAACCGTATTTGTTTTCAGATTTCCCCCTTTCTAAAGCAATCGTTTTCTTTGTAGCATAAAGCTCCTTTAAAAAATGTTTATTAAATGTTCGTAACTTGTCTTTTCCTTTTCTTCAGAAGTAGTTTTATTTGAATGTCCTTGAATTTAAGTACGACGAACACTCTTTTTTTTTTTTTTTTTTTTTTTTCTTCTCATTGTTATTTGTGAATGGGAGAAAGAATTTATAAATATTGTTGTCCTGAAAGATTCCATTGTTTTATTTTAACTAATCTTCCAATCCCATTTGAATGTCAAGGAGGAAAACAAATGAATAAATTCAGTTTGTCAATGAAAAATGCAAACATCTTTTTATGATTAATGTTCGCTTTGTTGCCCCCCCCTCTTTCCCTGTGGGTGTGGATTTTTATTTTTTTTTATTTTTTAATTATAATCAAGAAGCAGCAGTTTAGATAAATTTTATTTTTGCAAAGCAAATGGTTTAATTTAGTTTTTGACGGAAAAAGTTTTAAATAAGCCAAAAAAGTGAATATCGTCTTGTTTCTTATTCAGAACATTTATTTTAAATAATGTTTACATTTTAAAATAAACCATATGTTAGACTGACTGACCATCAACTTCTAGGGAGGGTATTTTTTTTATTTATTTATTTATTTTTTTTAATTCGACTCGTAACAATCTAACAACTTTTTTTATTATTTTAATTTGATTTTCCGTTTTTGGTAAAACAAAATATCCCAATGAATTTGTCAAAAACAAATCACTTCGTACTCCCTCTTCTTGTTGACTAAGGAAGTGCATATGTTAAGGCCGCGGGGTCAAGAATAATCATTATTCGCCTTTCTTCCTCCTACGACCGGATGCTTTTTTTTCCCCTTTTTTCACACAGTCCTTTTTTAGAAAAAAATTTCCCTCTCTACAATTTATTCATTTCCTTTCTTTCTCAACTCCAGAAAGTGATGTCTTTTATTTTTAATTAATAACCACCTGTGAAGTAGTCGTTGGGCTCCTTTCGGTATTGTCTGCGTAAGAAATTGTATTTTTACTTTTTTGATTGTTAAAATAAAAATGTTATTTATTCTTTGGCACTTCTCTTGAAATACTTTTTTAAACTAAGTATTAGACAAAAAACGTAATTAAGTTTGTTTACTTGGTAATTAATTATATTTATTAATGTTGGACATAATCGTTTAAGAATAAAGTTGTGCGATGTTTAACAAGCATATTATTAACAATGTTAAAGTTTTTTGTTGCAAATAGTAACTTCTTATGCACCCTACAAGCATTTATTTTCCCTACCTTTTTAAATCGGATATATTGGCTCGTTAACTGATATTTTTTTATTTTTTATTTGAGTTTTGCGAACATATGGAGTGCCTGTTTCAATAGATCGTATGATACAGTAAATCATATACTCAAAAAAAAAAAAAAACTGAACAGCATGCACATCACTTACTACCCCTCCCCTACACAAAAATGTTAGTGAAGTTACTAAAGACCACACTTATTGAAATATTCATGTTTAAGAACCCCAATATGGGACAATTTCACTGTGATGATCAAACAATTTCATTTTTCTTTTCTCTTCAAACGTAATATTGTTTTTTAATTAAGATGTCTGTCAAGTCCAAGTGTTTTTGTTTCATTACAAAAGTGTTGATTGAAGAATAACAACCTCAAAATTGCATTGGCTTTCGATTGAAAATTCTGTCTATTACTATTAACTATTATGTAAATCTGCTATATTCTAGACAGAATTTAACATTTACAGGGCATAATTGAAAGCAGGGGAAACAAAAATAAATACCCTACTTATTAACGAGTTTGTGAAAAGATGGCAGATGAATAGGAACGAAAAGGGGTGGTAAAAAAATAAGTGAAAATTTAGAGAGTAACAAAAAGACAATTGAGCCATAATAGCTCAAGTCTCTCTAAAGGATTTGGCATGTAATAAGATGTTACTTTGGCGAAATAGGAATAAAATTAATAATTAAAAGATTAAGAAATCCATTATTAATATCTATGCAACGGTTATTAATGGATTTAACTGGAATTCTTAGTGGTCATTTAATGGATTAAAACATTTTTGAGCATTTTCATTTATTTTGCTGACTGGATCATATTTGTAAAATTTTATGTAATAAAGAATTTGTAGTGTTGAAGAATAACTTAAAAAGTCTATGTATTATTGTAAATTAAGATGTAAAAAAAAAAAATTAATAAATTACACAGCTTCAAATTAGTGGATATATTTATTAGAAAATAACAAATCTGTTTCAGACAAAATAAAAACCTTTATTAATAATTAAGATATGATATCCCTTGCAAGTGGAAACTATAGAAGTTTAAATAGGCCCTTCTCTGAAGGCAGATAATCCATTTGATAACTGAAAATAGCTACTTTTTATTAACCAATTAAAAATATAATTATGTATATTTTTCCCTGAGTTCCACAAAGTAAATGACACAATAATTGGATTAATATAATTGAAAATCTGTAAAGCTTCTGATATTGATATGTAATAAAAGGCAATATTGGATCCATACATATTTCTTGAATTTTTGTTCACATTTTCTTTTTCCTCCTTCTATAATGCATAAATTTAAATACTTAAATTTCAGTGTCCCATATATTTCTACACAAAAGCTCTTATAAATATGAATGAAATGTCAATAATTGAGTTCTTTGGAATTAACATTCTTATTACTGAAAACAGTGTTTTGCAGTTCCAGAAATTCTTAAAACTTTAGAGCTGGTTTACAGGCAAGAAAGTGGAGTTGTTTTTATTTATTTTCTTTTCAACATCATCACTTGATAAGACACAGTGTGTTGAAACAAAATGGCTATTTTTGTAGTGATTTTATAACATACTTATGTTATTATTTTTTTATAAAAATAATTATATATATATATATATATATATTACACACATAGTTATTCAGCCATTCTCTTTGCTAAGAATGGTTATATAAAATTGTTTCTTTAAGCCCCTTTTTTCTATTAGGAATTGGTGGATAGTTTAGTAATTTTAGAGATGAACAGGTTTTATATTGTTAAATGCTACCTGTACATATTATGCATTATCAAAAAATACAAAATGCCTCATTCAGTGAAAATATCAGAATTAATATTTATTTAGCAAATGATTTTGTTAATCAACATAACAGAATTTTACTATTGACCATTGTTTTGTAGGTAAATCTGAATTAAAGAAGCAAACTGGTTTGGTTGTTGATTTATTCTTCATATTTAATAAATTATTTATATAACAGTCTTTATGGTTTTAAGAATATTTTGTCTTACTTCATTATTATAAACTTCATAAATTTTA